AGTAACAGTTGCTTCTGCCTTGTGTTCCTCAGTGTCTTTCTCTTTTATGATTTTACAAGGAGAGATTGACAGCAGCAGCAGCTCACTGCAAGTATTTGCTACCTATGGATAGCGTGTAAAAGTTTGGGTCCTGTTCCTTTGCTGATGAGTTCGTCTGCTGCCTGTCACCCAAAAATGAGAGGATAGCTTCTTTTTCTTTTTCCTTAAAGCACAAACAGGGATTTGAAAGCCACCATAAAACTCAAAAATCATTATCGCTGTAGCGGCCATGTCCACCATGACAAAAAGCAGACGCTTTATAATAATTTATTTTGGAACATTTTGCTCACTATCGAATGTTGAGTGCCTCGTTCCTGTCGAGGTCCTAATCTGAGTTGTCTGTCTTCAAAACCTTAGGTTTTTGTTGGTTTTTTTGAACCCAAAAAGAAAAAAGTGGAGCTACTGCTTTTTTCTTTCTCCTATTGTATTGTTGTTGGCTTTTTTTTTGTCATTTTGTATTTGTCGCCCTTGCTTACAGAAAACGATATGAGCTGGTATGTAACTATCATTTCTTTTATTAGGTAGTTATCTTATCAACCATTCATCCCTAGGAGAGGGGTCAAAAAATCAATATCAAGACTTCCGCATCAACTGAAAACCAGAAATGGTGGTGAAGGTACAGTAACACGAAGGATCATCGGTCCAACGTCATGCCCATTTTTACGTGCACTGACCCAAAATACTGAACTAGATGTCACCAAAGATTTGGAATTTACTGAGCTGGAACAATGCTACAAGATACTCGTGAAGGCTGCAGAAGAGTTTCGTTTAGAAGTGATAGCGTATCGTGGCAGTTTGTCAAGTAAAGTAGCATTGTCGTCTTGTAGTTTACTCCAATGCAGAAAGTCAATTTTAATCATTGGGTCTAATAGGTATGCTCAGCTATCAGATGGAATGCGCGACAGATATAGCCAAAGTATGCGGATTAAGTCCTACAAATGATGAAGGGCTATCAGAGCAACCCTATCAAGAGCACGATGATGCAAAAATACCTTTCGAGACAAAACAATGTTTGGAAGACTATGCCACAGCTATGGCGTACTGTAAACAAGAAGTGATGGCTGTCCTTGTAAGTTTGTTTTTCTTTTTGCGATGGATGGACGGAAGAATACAATTTATGCGTTTTTTTACTTAACAAGTAAGCCATGATTTTTTTCTAGGATGATATCGACGCGAATGTCATTGGACCGCTAGATAACTTTCATCAAATTGCTAAAGTCATTGACAAAACGATTGTAAAGCGTGAGCACAAGTTAATTGATTACGATCGCCACCGTCTGTCGTATATGAAATATGCTGATATTCAATATCCAACGCCCAGCGAGGAAAAAAATTTGTTGAAATTGCAGACGTTGTACGATAATGCAGCCTATGATTATGACTATTTCAATACCATGTTAAAGAAGGAGCTGGTTGTGTTTATAGACTTGTTGAGAGCTGATTTTATGGGTCCTGTGATGGAAAGATTTTACAACGCGCAATGTAGCGCAGCCGCGGGCATCTATGGTCGTCTCTCAGAGGTCATCCAGCAAAATGAAATTGTTTTTAGCACTTTACACATGCCAATTGAGGAGGGGTATAACCTAAGGTTAGCTGAGAAAAATGCAAGAGAGGAATTGGATAAGCTCGACTTACTCAAAAAGGGTTTAAAACTCTGGCAACAGAAAGGTAACATCCATATTACAGACAACCTACTTTGAAACAGGTCACAGTCTCATGAAGTGAAATGATATAGATCCTAGTTTGTCATCGCGGTACCGCAAGTCACCTTTTGATTCACCAAGTCAAGATGACCAGGAACCTGATAGAGACGACCTCAAAACAGCCGATATTCATCCGTGGCCGCCGTTACTCTCACATCACGTCAAAGTCGCAAAGGAACGATGGACTCAGAGAAACAATGCTATCGGTGCCCGATGGCATTGGTAACATGATCAAATAGGCAGAAATCTCGGAGCAGCTCTGAAGAGGAGCTCCAGCTTGACACCGCGTCCTTCCATACTGCTTTGAGAATAGACTATTATCCAATTCTTCCGAGTCATCGACGCCTTCTTACCATGCCACAGCTTCTTTGCTACCTTCTTCGTATACCAAACAACAATCACAACAGCAAAAGTTAGAAAAACGAACGTTTGCCTCTAACGCATCTTCGCACACCTCTCTTTCTGCTGGTATAAAAGTAATACTTCATCTACACCTGCACACCCTCCAGCACTCAGTTCACAGCGTGCTCGTCATCACCATTTGATGACCAAATTGAAGTGGTAGCGAAGAAAAAGCGTCCACCGCCCACCACCACCTTCCAAAAGCTCAACAAAGAAAACAAAGCAGCAAAAAGGAATTAGTAGAAGCACTCTACGATTTAAAAGGACCCAAGAGGGCGACCTATCATTTAAAGTAGGAGATCTGATTGAAGTATTAGACAAGTCAGAAAAGTGATGACTGGTGGAAGGTAGACTAAATGGTCAGTTGGATGTTTCCTGGTAAGAAAAAAATTTCAACTTAAGGTTGGTATTAGCATCTGTCTTCTTTTTTTTCTAAAACTTTTTCTACAGCAAATTATGTCAGATTGATATAAGCAACTGGCATAAATATAAGATCAACAATGTGAACTGTAAGATAAAGTTTCCTAGCATATAGTCTTTCAATTGCTTACGGTTAAAATTTCTATTTGCTGTATAATATGAACAACTTTAAATAAACATCGCTGAAGTCAGTTTTGGGTGGTCGACTTTCTAAAAGCTGATTTTTGTAATTTATAGCGTCCTTCAAACAGTAGCTCGTTAGTGAAGGCCGTAATTGCTTACTAATGTTGTCATCAAACGATAGTCATAAGTTTATAGGATCACTAATACTGGTCAGGAATATCTTTTTTTATTGCTACTCCTGGTAAATGCCTGCCCTTTGATTATCTATTTTTTTTTTTCAAGCTGAAGGCTAAGACACCAACTATTCCATTACCAGCTTTTTGCATACATAGTAAACTCTTACATCTAGTTAAATGGCTTGTACACTGAGCCGTGTTAGCTTCAAATATTACATATTTTCTTCACCTCTTCAGCTGTTTCTTGAGGTTTTCTCTTTTCATAGAAGGCTCAAACAATACCATCACTGACAGATACTTTACTCCACTATCTCTTAGAAAAGGTGCCCTGAAATGCAATGTTTTCATTCATGTGCCGTTGTGTACATTTATTTTGCTGAGAAACCAGTCTTGTAATTACGCTAAACATTGAATAGTCGGTGAACCGCCTGTCTTTACGGTTCTTTCTCATCGATAGCAGCCAAGGTGCTCACAAAAGTCAGTGATTACCATCCATCTCTGCCAATGGATAGATAACAGCATAGATCTCCGCAAGAGGAGTATTTAATACAGCTACAGATACCTGGTGACTGAATTTACCCCACATTTTCGGAGATACCAAATAAAGCCCAAAAAGAAAAAACTGTATATTTTCCTGATCTAAAAAATAAACTTTTAAATTTTCCTGTATTCACAAAACTTGATTTCTTTTTCCTTTGATAAAACTCATTCCTTTTTTTTTTACCTTTCTATCTCTTTTTATGAACAGCGTATCTAAAGCATGACATCTATTACAACAGCAGAAACAGTAGAGTTAAAGGAATTGATCTTGGGTATGTAGATCTATGTGCTTGGAGGCAATCAATAAGATAGAGTTACTATCATAGTGTTCAGCTTACAGACTTCAGCATCTATTTTCTGACATTTGCAACAACGAAATAGCATGTCCCAAGCTGTCAAAGACTGTATCAGTGGTACTGTGGGAGGTATTGCTCAGGTTCTTGTTGGTCAGGTAACATAGAGATACAGATATACTCAAAGATAGCAGGATAGGATAAAGGATCTCATCTAATTTTTTTTTTTTAAAAGCCATTTGACACGGTGAAAGTAGTAAGTATCACACTTATCTTGCTTTGTTCCATAGCCTAGACCCTTTTCCCTGGATTTTAATTTTAACACTTTCAATATAGCGTCTACAAACTCAATCTGCCACAAATCCTTTATACAATGGCATGTTGGATTGCGTTAAGAAAACGAGAGCCAAGGAAGGTATTGCAGGCTTTTATAAGGTAAGCGGGGAAAAAAACCGTCAAAAAAAAAAAAGCCTGCGTTAAAAGTTACTAAATAGGGTATTTTTTTTTTTTTGTGTTTAATTGCCAATAGGGCACCATGACACCTCTCGTTGGTATCGGTGCCTGTGTTTCTATCCAATTTGTAGTCTTAGAGGCCATGAAGCGTCATTTTGCCAGTGTCAATGAAAAGGGACAACTTCTCAGTAATTCTCAGCTTTACTTAGCAGGTGCAGCTTCTGGTTTTGCCAACTCCTTCGTCTCTGGCCCTGTTGAACACATTCGTACCCGTCTTCAAGTTCAAACTGGCACAGGCTATGCAGGTCCATTGACTGTATCAAGCAAATTTATCGCTCTCATGGTTTAACAGGCATTTATAAAGGTCAAGGTATCACTATGGCTCGTGAATTCCAAGGTTATGGTGCTTATTTCCTGGCTTATGAATATTTGGTTCAGCAAGCAATGCAAAGAGCCAATTTGCAACAAAGATCAGACTTGCCTACTTGGCAAGTATGTGCTTTTGGTGCTGCTGCTGGCTACGCCATGTGGTTTACTATTTATCCTATGGATGTTATCAAATCTAAATTACAAACAGATGGCTTCACACCAGAAACCAAACAATATCGATCCGTGTTGCATTGTGCCAAAAAGACTTTAGCCAAGGAAGGTGTCAGCGGTTTCTCAGAGGTATTGGACCTTGTTTGTTGCGTGCTGCACCAGTGAATGCTGTTACTTTTATGGGGTATGTTTAAATTGTGAATGCTCTACGTTGAGAATACCTGTTAACTGTTTCTTTTTTCCCATTCTTCACTTTGTAGCTTCGAAATGGCTATGCGTGTGTTATCATAGACCAATTATAATATAGATACTGTATACACAAGACTCGCTTATTCACCTCAAGTCTCATACCTTCTATTCCTTCATCGTACTTACCTGACTATGTAAATTAAACTTATTTAATAAAACAAAATCGTTCGTTATTTATTTCTTAACCCTCATAAAAAAAAAAGGGAGCATACACATTTGCCCGACACAGATGACTCTTTACTACATGCTTATCTAGTACTTATGGTTGAAGAAAAGCAGTGACTCGTTAGTTTAAGCCAACTGTCCATAAGCTTTGAGTGCATGTTCTGCTTTAACATACACAGAACGAGACATCATATATATATAGTCATTGTCGGATGCACATCTTGGTGTTCAAAAGCTTATCCAAAATGAAAATAATTCATTTAAAGCATAACCCAGTTGATCTATACAAATGAAAAATGAAGCTCTAATTCTATTTTAAAGCACATCCTTAACACTTCATCAAAGTATATAGTATCATAACCAAGCTTTATATGGGTATCAGTAATATTTATTTTGAAAAAAACTGAAGACAGCTTTTGAAATTCGTGACCATTGTTCTAAGCTATTCGTTAATGTTTCTGCTAACAAGAATTTTCTTTTTTCCCGCTTCAAAAAACAAAAAATTACACTTTTTTAATTCAATTATTATAGACATGGCATCCGATCAGGAAATGCTAGCTAGAATTGCTCAGTTGAGCACTGCTATAGAACAAAGAAAAGCATTACTCAACCATTCTCAACAACCACAACATTATAACCCCAGTATACCCCGTGGTGGCCGCTCGAGAGGCAGAGGTCTCGGATATCGTGGCCGAGGTGGCATGCATTTGTCTCTTGTCAACGATAATCGATGGTCTAATCCGAATAGCCCACTTCGTTCCAACACCCCACCTACTAATTTATTCTTAGCAAACTCGCCGAGTTCGATACCCCAACATGCATCTTCGCTTGCTTTGTCATCTGCAACAGGTTCCACAAGTCATAATACCTCTTCCCCGTCGGGTTCATTGTTGACAACGAGTGCTAGCTCACCAGCCCTCAATAAGATACCAACTTCTGCCATTCCGGTAGTAGCGAAGAATTCCAGTACTGATATAAAAAACGAATATGTTATTAGCGGAAGAAAATTATTTCGAAAAGACTTGATGAACAGATCACCCATAGTGAAGCCATCAAAACTGTATCAACATAATCGTCCAACAGAAAGGTGGGTGCTTAAGAAATATTGGCTTTCGAGAGTGAATGATTCATGCATTTTTATTTTCCACTAGTGTTATCAGAAGCTCATCACCAGCAGCAGCAGCAGCAGCAGCCCAAAAACCGCTTAGACGAGGATTGAATGGCGGCCCTAACAAAGTATTTATTCGTCAGCCCGAGGGTTATGTTCGTCAAGGTCGTTCCGGCCGGTCACTCGTACTGAATGCTCATAAAAGTGCCTTACGAAGACGAAAACCGCGTTATTGTGGGTTCTACACTCGATTCGGTCGATGTCCGAACGCAGCTCGGTGTCCATTTGTCCATGATCCTAAACGAAAAGCCATTTGTCCTCGTTTTTTAGCAAATCGGTGTAAGAAACCTGCCCATCTCTGTAAATTGTCCCATTATCCCAATCCCCATATCATGCCCCACTGTGTTTATCTTCAAAAGGGATCTTGTACAAATGAAGGTTGCGCCTTTATTCATGTCAAGGTCAACTCAAAAGCGCCTGTATGCCGAGCCTTTGCTATGGAGGGTTATTGTCCGAAAGGACTCCACTGTAACGAAAAGCATGTGCATGTCTGCCCCGAATTTGCCGAAACAGGCAGATGCTCCAATGCGAACTGTCGATTACCTCATGTTGCAAAACTTGATCGTAACGATAGTGCCAGCAATGTTGCGGGTGTCGTCCGTTTGGGCACATGGGTAAGTGCAGATTATTTTTATGCTCAAAAAAAGGCGCAGCGTGAAAAGAAAGAAGCCCGAATTGAAAAAAAGGAAGAGAAAAAAGCGGCCATGAAAGAAGCAATAGCGGCTAGGTTTACTTGGACCAATCCTCTTTTGGAAGAAAAACGAAAAGCCGAGCAGAGAGAAAAGGAAGAAGCAGAAGGGTTTGTACGCTTATTGGATGATAGTGATGACGACGATGGATGGAGTCAGTATGAGCGAATCGATAGTGGCGATGAAGATTTGAGATTCAACGACGATGAACAAGACACAGAAATAGACGATCTAGAAGACGGAGAACTGGACATCGATATGGAGGAAAACGAGGAAATCGTAACAAATGAAGATGCTGAAACTTCCGCTTCTGCAAAAAATATAGATAGTAGCGAGGTTGAAGTTAGACATAATAATTTTGTACAATCAAGAGGTGGAGATAGTTTAGAAGAGGGGGAGTTATTAGAATATGAAGGAGATAAGATCATGGTAGGTTCTATAGAACCTATGAATGATATATATGGGCAAAATCCTGCAGTTGTGCCCGCAGGGAATGCTAATGTTAATCAACAAGCAAGCGACGATGAATTCTTTGACGCACTAAATGAATTCGATGGGTGAGAAGGTGAGATAATTGTTCTACAATTGATATTTTGGCAGGAAAAAATGTGAATATTGAGAAAATGATCATGTATAAAATGTAGTTTTTTTTTCGCCATTACTGTTACATCATAGAATGATTTGTTGAATATCAGTTATAACGAATAAAATTGAATCCTATGTGAAATTTGTCTGTGGTTATATTTCGCTTGCTAAATTAATCTTTTTCAATGCGTGCATTGTTTTTTTCGTATAAAAATAGTCAGTGTGGCTTCATAGTTAGTGTGAATCATTTGACGCCTTAATTAGAGTAGCAAATAGTATATGCAAATCATACAAAAAGCTTTACAAGGCTAGAACTAGACAAAATTTTTTTTTTGTTTTTTTTTTTGTCATTGTTAAACTAGTCAATACCACAGAGGGATATGACTTAAATGGCATTATTACTGTACAAACAACAGTTAATTTTGATTTAAAGTAGTCGCTTCCCGCAGCAACTGCGTGGCAGACAAACGTTAAGACGTGATATGGTGGACTTCACATTGCTCGTGTGAAAGGGAAACTCGTTGATTATAGCCTGATATTATGATGCCAAAAATAGTCCAATGGATGCTAAAGCACACAGTGAGCAGCTTTTGGAGCGATGATCAAGGGATTGTCTGCAGTCGGTAAAGTTTACCTGCACCTTTTAGGGCATTGTTACGTGATTGGCAAATAAGAATGAACCGGCTTTAGATTTAGGAATACCAAAGTTGCCGGAGCAGAGGATGAAGAAGTGGTACAAGCTATCTAGCCACGCTTTATTTTCAGTGTATAATAATAATAATAATAATAAAAAAATAATAATATTTCCCCTTTTTCCCCAGATCTTTCAAGCTAGCTATAAATTCAATTTTTTTTTTTTTTTTTTTTTTTTCTGGGAGGGAATTTGATAATCATATAAATTTAGTTAAGAGAACAATCTCTTATACCAGGGTTGGGTTTGTACCACTTCTTCATCCTCTGCTCCGGCAACTTTGGTATTGTATGTTGTGCCTAACACAATCCTTGTTGCCTTCGCTTCGGACTCCGAAGTGGTATTGTTTTCAGCATCAAAAATTGAATTTTGAATCTTGGTGCTTTCATGGTCTTGACCAACTGGTTTGTAATAGTATCGTTCAAAGGTATTGGAGTCTTGAGACCAATTGGCATGCTGTTTGACTTTAGAGATGGGGACACCCTTCTGAACTGCTTTGGTACTACTGGCGGCTCTAATGGAATGAGCAGTATATTCCTTGGAGATACCCGCCTTGATCATATGAGTCTTCACCCATGTTGCAGCTGTCTTTGGTTGGATGCTTGTAGGTGGTGTTTCTTCAGGATTGTTTAGATATGTCAACAGGAGTGAATGATCTTCAGGTAAGGTGGAACGATAAATCAGGGTTTCTTTGAGAAAATGTTCAAGGCAGTGAACTACACAAAGTTCGAGTTGTTCAGTCGGCAATAGACCCAATTGAGTTGTCTTTTGTTGTGCTTCCTTGGGCTTTCTTATGTGTAACACTGCACCTAAAAGTGACTGAGTTGCAGGTTTGTATCGCAAAATAGTATCTCGGTATTGTAATCGACCAATATCACTGCGAGGACGCCACATGGTATGTAAGCAGAGTAATAAAACCAGTTTTTGTTGTAAATCATATAATGAAAGAGTTTCAGAGGGTGATAAATGTGCCTGAATATACAGTGACTCACAAAAATGGCTCAATGTTTTGGGAATTTTGCATAATTTGTACTTCTTCTGCTCATACTGACAGTAATCTCTGTACCAATCTAGTAAAACGCTTACATATATGAAAAGAGCATCTTCCTAGCTTTCTAATAACACAATTTACACTAATTTGTGCATGACTTTTATATATGGTGGTAGACCGATAAAGCTGAGATATACCAAATTTCATTGAGTTTTTTTTCCTTTTATTTGCTGTAAAAGAGAAACTGTGTAAACTAGTACTTCGTCCAGCCCCCTTTAGCCTTAATAACGGCTTCGATTCTCTTTGGCATGCTTTCTATATGCCTCATGCATAATTCGGGGGTGACTTTGTTATACCAAACATCGGCTACACGTTCCCAAAGCTCCCCAAGGTTCTTCGGTGCACTATCGTATGAAGCAAGCTTGCATTTCAAGTAGAACCATAAATTCTCGATTGGATTCAGGTCCGGGGAGTAGGAAGGCCAGTCAAGAACATTTACCTTATTTTTACGGAACCATTCTTTAGTCACTTTGGCCGTATGCTTGGGATCATTATCCTGCTGAAGGATGATGTCCTTCTTCTGTAGGCCATAATCTTTTAGGGTCTCCAAGAAGTCCCCCTTCAAAATTTCGCAGTATAACTGCGCGTCCATCCCGCCCTCTATCTTGGCAATAAAACCAGGTCCATATTGGGTGAAGCAGCTCCACAACATCAAGCTTCCTCCACCTCCTTTATAAGCGTAGTTGACATTGTGGGCTTGGAGAGGTTCTCCCTTTTTGACCCACGTCCACGTCTTTCCATCTGATCCTAGACGATTTATTTTGGTTTTGTCGCTGAAAACGACCTTCTTCCAGTCTTCAACCGTCCAATTTTTGTGAGCCTTTGCCCATTTCAACCGATTCTTGCGACGTTCATTAGTCAATGGCAATGCCGACTTTTTGATCTTCGAATCGAAATCAGCTGATTTGAGGAATCTGCGTATCGTTTGTGCAGATATTTCATATCCTTGTCCTCGAAGGTTCCGGGCAGCCTCAACTGCAGTAATAAATTGCCCAGTATAGAAAGATCTAACGATCTTTCGACCGAGCAATGCGCTGATCTTTGCAGGTCTGCCCTTCTTGCCATTAGATGCACATGCAAGATCGGTAGCAATTCTGTCAACTGTTGCACGCGAAACGCCCAGAGACTTTGCAATATTTCTGTGAGAATCGTTTCCATTCAGTCTGGAAATAATATCCATTTTCTTATCGTAAGGAATAGGTCTCATGTTGCAATTAGTGTTAATGTAGTTGAAATGTGGGGTAAAGGTAATCGATGGAATCTAATGAAAGTTGTAATGGGAATTTCAGGGGAAAAATGAAACATAGAGCTGCTTAATTATGCGAAATACAATATGCGAAACTGTCTGGCCCTTAAAATACATTTTTTGTTGTGTTTTTTGGAAGTTCATTAGTGATTCGTGAATTTATGCAAAATGCCCGATTGTCGACATTGCAACAATTCATGTTCGTAATTGCAGATGAAGTGGTGCGATGTCAACGAAACTTATACCAATAGTACTTGTGGTATTGCTCTTTACTGTCGTATAGCTAAAATTAAGCTAAAAATACTCATTGTCTAGCTACAGTGAAAAAACCGCAAAATGCAGAAACATTGAGCCATTTTTGTGAGTCACTGTATGTTTGAAAGTTATATCATTAGAAACCCAACAATATATACTTCCTAATGATATTAGTTTGGATGGGGGTTTATTAATCATATCAGGTGCAATAGTGATTTGAATTGGAAATTTGTTTGATTTTGTAAATCATTGTAACACTTTTGTGAGTCACTGTATTTATATTTGTGGATATTGTTGTTGTATCCAAGATACAACTATTCGTCTTAAACTACAGAACGACTTCAGTACCTGCTTGACAATCTGATACACATCTACTTTGACACCCGCTTGCGGCTAAGATCTTATCATTCTCATGATAGTTTTAGTTCAGTTGTATTAATAGTTGAATACCCGTTAATAACCCCGTTTCTCATATAAAAGTATCATTCTCAATAAACTTGAATAAAGAATATCTTTGTTGTGTCTGGTCATTTTACTGTCTTATTTTATTTTACAAGTCTTTTAAAGTAACCGGATATATCAATTGTAAAAAACTTTTTCTATCGAGACTCTTAGATACAAGATGACCTGATGATAAAAGAAAAGACATACCCAATTGTTACTGCACGGTTCATCATGCTATAGCAGTACCTTGACCGATTGGATCGGTGAAAGAAGATAAGTGAGTTGATCTGAGTAGAGATTCGTTTTGACCCGGACTTCGGCATATTCATTATAATTAACGTGATGGACAGGATAAACTATTCCTTAATTCCGCTGACGTCTACGTTTCAGTCTTATTGGATACTGTCAGAATGTAAAGGGTTAAAGTAAGGATCAACAAGTTAGATAATAGCTTAAGTAAATTAGATTTATGTCTTGTGGTTTGATGTGCTAAATAAAGTTATCTGATTTAATCGAATCCAAATACTATAATACTGTATCTTATTTCTAAATGAAGTCAGTTACTCAACCAATGTTGTCTCGGATATACAGTTGAAATATTCTTCCGCAAAAGAAAAGAATTGTTCTAACAAATCTATCACTCACGGTTATTCTAACCTTCATAAGGATCTATATTCTCTTATTTCAGTACTATGTAATAATCCAAGAGTAATATGCTGTTGGATACAACACTGACTCACTGTCATGTCCCGACCACTGTCTACGGTATCGAAACACGAGTGAGAATTAATTAATTTAAACACAGCATAAACGGCTGTCAACTTAGACTTGAATTGTCGATTAAGCAATTGTTCACAAGTCAAACTGGTATCAGATCCATAACAGTGTAAGAACACGCCTTCACTAATCTCTCATTAGATCCATTAGTACTCATTGGTTGTAACTAGTACATCTTCCTAACATCCTCTATAAGCTCAGCTAACTCTCTGAAAAATATATAAAGCCTTCATGTTCTCAAAATTGAAATAAAGATGATCTGACTTTTTCGGTCTCGTTCTATCTTGGTCTATCAAATACTTAAGAATATCTCACTCACTCAGTCTCAACATTTAAAAACTTATTAAATGATAACTTCTGATATCTAAGAATATCACATTTTCTCAGCGAATTCCTATCAACCAACTCAACACTTATTAACTCTTACTATGTCTGCCTCTACCAACAACTCTGTCACTTCCTCTACCCCTGCTGTCACTCAAAAACAGTTGAACTCTCACATGGACAACCTTGATATCACCATGCAACAAGATGACATGAAGAACCTACTACCAGTGAGGAACCTTCATCCTCCTCCACTGTCGGTCTCTCAAGCTCTTCCTCTGGTACCTCCAATTCTGTCGCTATCCTTCGTATAAGGCTGGCAACCTTTACCAACTCAATCGCCGTAGGATTCATGAACAAGATATTTAAACAAGAATTGGATGCTATGAAGGCTGAAACCAACGAAACTGCTGAATACATTCAGTACCTTGAAGGCCTTCAAAGGTCTATCAACATGAGCAAGTCATAAGCTCCCCTCCTACTGGTTCCACTCCTCTTACTATACAACCGCCAATGATCGATACCGCTACTTAATCCCAACGGATTTATCTTACTGGCAATGGCAAGGTAACGTTTGGAAGGAATCTGCTGATTCACATGAGTCAGTGAAGGAATTGCTTGACAACTTCTATATAAGTGTTACATCCACTGGCCTGGATATCGACCAACACTGGGCACGTCTCATTCCAATCCGCATCATGAACAGAGACCAACGCTCATGGTTCGAACTATCCCTCAAAGGCCGTGTGTAAATCTTACCAATTAGGATTATAGTGGACTAAATTAAGTAACGAGACTATAAAAAGATGTTAAAATGTCTTTATTTCAAGTTAACGTTTGGGTCTCTTTTATATCTTTGAAATAAGTAATTTGTTTAGAGAAAATGCATGTCTGAGACCTTGTAAATAAATATGGGCAGATAGGGAAATACATGTAGTGTTGTTTAGGTGAATAATTACATATACAGTATTTGGCCTAGGTAATTATAGAGGACATCACACCGTGATCTCACTTGGAACGAGGTTAAAGCGACCGTCGTAGAAGACTACGGTACCCATGACACTGCGGCTGAAATTGACAACAAGGACAAGCTTCTCTCTCTTCGTACTGTATGAATCCTCACGAAACTGTACAAACGTTTTCGGACCGTTTCCAAATTATTCGTCGTGCTGCCAAGTGGGAAGATGATACTGTATAACCACTGCCACCATCTTCAGGCGAGCTCTATTACCCACTCTTCGAAAAGAAGTCGCTCGTACCGTGTTGAACTTTCTGCGCAATGCGCAAGACATTGTTGGCAAAGTAGTTGCCAAGGCAAGACTGGTCGCTTCCTCCGATATTTGTGTCGTATTTGAGGCACGATGGCAATATTATATGCGTAAATTACTCAAAACGTCTAACGAAATGTAACATAAAACTTGATCTCAGATATGGGTACTGCTCATATCTTCGTTCCCGTTTGGTAAGCGGTGTGTTCGATTGCATACATTTGAACCTTAGATCAAATGTATAACAAATAAAGATACAGTAGCAGGATTGGTATATGTACTCGTTGGATATATTGATTCAACAACCAGAACATAGTAGGTCGCGGTACTACTCCCTGTTCCGGAAATAAAGTATGATTGGAGATAAAAAGGCTCAATCACTCTTTATTAATACAATAACTGTTCACGCAATCAAAAGAACACCACGCACCAATATCTCTTCCTAGCTAACATCTATAATCATTCCCACAGTATCTGAGCTACACAACTGGTGGCCGATAGATATTGGATTATAGATGTAGCTGCATGATCACCCTGGATCTGCCAGGATAGCACATTACAAATCAATCCGCTCTGGGATGGACGAGTAATTATCCACTTAAAAGGAAGACCTATTCTTTTACGGAAACCTCTGATTCACTGAGTATTATCTGACGATAATACATCAGTGTCAGCTATAGATCCCGATACAATCATTTCGTAGACAGCAAACACAATAAGTCTTTATTAATAGCAGTAATTTTAGTTTTCTTTTCTTTTTCTTTAGTTTGTTTTTGAAAGAGAAATAAAGACGGTGGTTTGATTACGTTAAGCTTTCGTGTTTATTTTCTCTTGTGTTATTCTTTACCTTTTATCTCAAAGTTAAAACTAGCGAATAACACAAGGCTCAGCGGCGAGAGGAGGAAAGGGAGTATATTGTGTTTGAACAGCAGAAGAAAAGGTAGATGCTCAAGGCATATCGTTATTGATATTTGTATTTAATGGAGTGTTGGTAGCTAAAAGCAATTGCATTTGAGAATTCAAACACTGTTGTTGCATCATGAGTATTCGTACGTCTCGTGCTAACTGTTGAGTAGTGTTTAGCAACGTAAGGTTGGAACGATTACTTTGTTCAACAAATCGCTGAAAATTGTTTTCATTCTTTTGAAAGCGGTCATTTTGCTGCTGTTGCAAGCGTACAATCCTATGATTGACTTCCGTTACTCGACTGGCTACTTGTCTATGTGTATCGACAAGACTTGGCACAAGGTTTTCGTACTCTTCTAATCTGCCAACAGAAGGACTGGTTACGGCAGCTACAACATCTTCTTGAAACTGCTTGAATATGTAATTTGAGAAGATATTGCTTCTGGAGTTGACGAGTTTATTCTCCTTGTTCAAATACATGTATACTGCTGCATCTTGTAGAATTATCCTTCTACATCTGATCAAAGTCGTAAAAAGCCTCTTTTTGCTGTGTCTAAGCTGCTCTGAACTGCTCGTTGCTTTCCCTTTCTTCGTCTTTCTCGAGACACCATGATTCCATTCTCTTCTAGTACAAATTCCAATGAATTTTCACTGTTTTCTACATTGGCCATGTTATCCTCCTCATCTTCGTTCTCGCTCACATACAGTCATGCATTCAATGTTGTTCTCTCCAAAAGAATACTCAATCCAAGGGAAAATCATTCGTTGCAGTTCAATGGGCGGTGATACGCTGTTTCTTGCTAATCCGAAAGGCTTATCCCAGAAGCCGGCCATACCTCTTGCGAACTGTGATGGAAGTTTTCCGAGGTAATGAGTCTCCAATCGGCCAAGACGATCCTTCCATCCTCCACCACGCTTGATTAAATCAATAGCCATACCTAGAGCTTCAGCCTCCATTGCACCAGCATGGCGTCCACCGTGAGTCATTCTAGTTGTATGGATTGTTTCATCTAAAAGCGCTTGTTTTGCAGTTTTCCATTGCGAAACGCCACTCAAACTTTGCTCTGGGCTGCCACATCCACGCAAAACCTTCCAATTATGCCACCAATCTTCCTTCAGGAAATCACCGTTGTTCTTTAAAAGAAATGGATTAATGCTCCTTCTAACTTGATACTAACCTCTTGTGGGCAAATGAGTTACCTGAAGCAAACTAAACATGAAAAAAGCAAAAGCACTGAAAGGACATCTGAAGAGGTTTTCATGGCGCATTGCACAAGCAAATTGTCGTATTTGAGGCACGATGGCAATATTATATGAGTAAATTACTCAAAACGTCTAACGAAATGTAAAATAAAACTTGATCTCAGATATGAGTACTGCTCATATCTTCGTTCCCGTTTGGTAAGCGGTGTGTTCGATTGCATACATTTGAACCTTAGATCAGATGTATAACAAATAAAGATAAGATAAGAAAAGAATATGGATTAAGGATAATTCTTATGTGAGATTAGCTACCTCACATAAGACTTGAACAGGTTATCTTTACAGTATGAGCTGTACTCATATCTGAGATCAAGTTTTATTTTACATTTCGTTAGACGTTTTGAGTAATTTACTCATATAATATTGCCATCATGCCTCAAATACGACAGGCCCTACGGACTGTTTCAACACTTGTAGAGATACCTATTTCATTTCTAAGCCTTTTTTGAACCTGAACAGCATTGTCATCGCGGCCTTTGGTACACGCGCGTACGCAAAATCGCTTATCTGCATCACTGAGTAGCTGAGGACGACCACCTTTCTCTCGTTTTAAGTGTGGAACTGCCTGACTACGGACCTGAGAGACCTTCCCAATACTAACACCAACCCGTTTGGCTATGTTTCTAACACTTACACCGTCCTTGAGGAGCGAGACAATTGAATTGTACTGATCATTTCTAAGTTTTTGCATTCTGGTTGGTATCGTTTGTGATATTGGAATTTTATCGGTATAAATTGGTTTAATTAATGTATAAAGACTTTCTTAACTCTTGGCAATTCCATCGTAATAGAATATGTCAAAAAAACTGGTGACAAATGATACTCTAACATAACTTTTTACAAGACTTGGGCTATCGTTTGATCTAAGTTTCATCCCGATTACGCAAAAACTTCCAAAGATATTGAGATATTCTTAAGTATTTGATAGACCAAGATAGAACGAGACCGAAAAAGTCAGATCATCTTTATTTCAATTTTGAGAACATGAAGGCTTTATATATTTTTCAGAGAGTTAGCTGAGCTTATAGAGGATGTTAGGAAGATGTACTAGTTACAACCAATGAGTACTAATGGATCTAATGAGAGATTAGTGAAGGCGTGTTCTTACACTGTTATGGATCTGATACCAGTTTGACTTGTGAACAATTGCTTAATCGACAATTCAAATCTAAGTTGACAGCCGTTTATGCTGTGTTTAAATTAATTAATTCTCACTCGTGTTTCGATACCGTAGACAGTGGTCGGGACATGACAGATATGAGTCAGAATGTGTGAAAGTACCAAACATGTGAACAGTTTTGTGAGTCACTGTATTACCCAAAACAAGCTGCTTCCGAATGTAGCTACGGGTTGTAGCACTGATAACTGTTGTATCCAACATCATATTACGCGTAGATTATTACATAATGCTAAATAAGAGACTACAGATCCTTATAATGATTGGTTTAATCTTGAGTGATAGCTTTGTCAGAACAATTCTTATCGATCCCGGAAGAAGAGATCATCTGTATGTACACATCCGAGACAACATCATATAAGTAATTGACTTGATTTAGAAATAAATTAATATAGTATTTGGATTTGTATAAATCAGATAACTTTATTTTGCAGATCAAACAATATACATGTATCTCATCTATTCAAGCTATTATTCAACTTATTGTTCCTTCACTTTAACTCTTTACCTCCTGACAAGATTCAGAAGACTTCAACAGAGACATCGGCAGAATCAAGGAATAGTTTATCCTGCCCGTCCCGTTAGCTATAATGAATCTGCCGAGATACGGGTCAAAGGAATCTTTCATCAGATCAACTCACTTACCCCCATTTACCGATCCAATCGGTCAAGGCACCGCTCTGTCACGATTAGCCGTACAATAACAATTGGGTATGTCTTTTCTTTTATCATCAGGTCATCTTCTGTTCAAGGGTCCCGATGAAAAAGTTTTTTACAATATCCACAAATATAAATAGAAGTACTTTTTTCCTACATGGTTTTTGTCTTCATTCTTTATCTGAATATTCTACTTAATAAAAGAAGATAACTTGGTCTTCACAGATTTCCTTTTGTTTTCTTTCTATTGTGATCTATTTCTACCATATACAACAATAACAGACTTGCGACCAGGTGCACCGCCTACGATATCAGGGAAAAACTTCCTTTTATAGTCAGCAATTGTGGTTTTCTTGACTCCAGGAATACGCTGTATGATGGCAGAAAACGAATAACCAGCTTGCAACATGGATTTGATATTGTTTGGGTGTCTATGGGAAGGGCGCGAGGCATTTTGGAGATAATAAAGAGTTATTTTAAAGAGAGAGGGATAAGGTCGAAAAAGGAGACAAACTGTCGCATATTTATACTTTTTTATGACCTGCGGAGTTGCGAAATGTCATCATTACGCATTGTGAGTCATCTTGAATCATTTAGCGTCGCTAAGTTTGTTATTCCGATGAGATTGCATAAAATTAGATGAGGTGGAAAAATGGTTCGGATAGACCTATCAATGTAATTTCACTATTGTAGCTCCGATATCAAATCATATAAGTTATAAACTTAACAGATGATAAAGCACAATTTTAGCTATCTGTTGAATATTTCCTCGGTTTATTTAAATGACAACTCATCGAGTAATGGTTGATTTAGTGTAAAATTGAAAACCATCCGAACCATTTTTCCACTAACTGTATATTGTTTCTGGGTATCTTTGTCAGCATCCTTGAAAATGCTGCGAGCATTTAAGGATGCGACGCGTATGGTCGATTATTCATTGCCCTCCTGGGCGCTCATGACTATGTTGGGAGGAGTGGTATCCGCATCTATTATCTGATCCATATCATCGGTGTGAGCAGGATTTAAACGACTATGAAGGGGTGTAGTTGCCGAACTAGTGTTGGCATCGGAAGGCGCAGGTGTTGCAGGCTCGTCCAGAGCCGCCATACTGGCAGCAACAGTGATACTGGCATATTTTGAGCCGGCAGTACCAGTGGGTGTATTGAATGGAGACAAAGTATGATCTACAGAAGCCTTAGCGGTCGTTGATCGGGTAGCATAACTACGAAGCGGCTGGCTTTGTAGGTGACATGCTCAACAGTTACGCCATGCGAAATGGCTTTGGTGTTGGCATCATCGGACTTGAACTTTGTTGCAATAATTAAATCGGAAAGGGGACGTGTACTACGTAAAGAGATAAGATTAAATCCCCAAGGACAGGGCCAAGCTGATCAGTGATCAATCTATACGCGTCGGTATAATGATCAAAAATTTTAGAAGGAAACTTGAAGAAACCGACCCACTCGTACTGTAAGAGTTGAGTGGACGATCGACGTGATTTGTTGTGAACGCAAATAAGCAGCCACGTCAGGTGCCTCGTAAAGTAGCTTAGCAACGAAACGTTCACGTTGGCCATCATGAACCTTTTTTAATGGCGCCGGGATACGGCTGGCGCTTTTCCGAGCAGTTACAGTTGCACAGGTAGCCTCAGAAGATGAGGATGCAACACTCATTGTCAAATGGGCTGAGATGGTGTTGGCAAAAGTGGTTACGGGTTAGGAAGGGTATGTCGCGATTTGATTGGTGGATTTAGTTGAAAAACAAAATACACGGAAGAGAGCTTTGATACGAATGATTAAACATGTCTCATGTTACAGTATTTTCGCTTCCGATTCGACTCTTTGAAGAAAAATTCGGACTTTTTATTGGAAATGTTTATACGAATTATAGAAAATTTTTGGACTGATCAATTGTCAGATTGGGATTTTTTACGAAGCTATCTCAGACCGATTTCTTTTTGCATCATGGCTCTTCCCAACTCCCAACACTTTTCTTGGTAAGCGGAGTCCAACTTGGCCTCCAAGCCCAAAAATCATTCTAAACGCTGCTATGCCCAAGTGGTCACGGCACCTAAACGTGTTTCGCTGATGCATAAAGGCATCGAAGCTCCTGATATTGATGAAGGCACGACTTATAGTCGCCTTCAAACACGTGTCTATAGGTCCTCACGTACTGTACAATGGGGGCTTTGTTATTATCTATTTCACCAGTTCTCTACAGGTAAATAAGTCTACATTTATCAAATACAAATCCAAATGTGATATTCTTAGATATCAGGAGTTATAATTTAATAAGTTTTAAATGTAGAGACTGAATGAGTCAGCGAGACCGAACAATAGTTCTTGGATAGTTTTATTTTGGTTTAGGAATTGAATGGTCTTTTATATGAAGGCGAGGTTAAACTGAGCTTATAGTGGAATTAAGAAAGTAGTAGTGACAACCGAGTAATATTGTTCCTGTTAATGAATTGTACAACGCCACTGAGAAATATCTAGATTACCAGTAAAATTGAAGTCTGCCTGATGAAATCTTATTTGTCCCAGTGTGCCTGGAATCTTATTTGTTCCAGTACACTAGAACTGGTAAAGGCAGTAAATCTGGATTGTTTCTCAGATTGTTATATGAATTAGAGGTCAGAACGTTGTGGTATTTGACGACTTGTGGAGTAAAATATCACTTAGTTAAACAATAAAAAGCTAACGAGATCAAACTAGTAGGTTTTTATTTTGAATCAAGGTAAGTTCAAAGAGAAGAAAAAATATCTACTGCAAAAATTTAAATATCTTCTTCATATTGCGGAACCTAGAAACTGGCAGCTGAGTTATTCTACTGAAAGAAGACGTACGTCTTCTGAACCGTAAAAGAATAGAATTCTCCCTTGAGGAGATTACGCATCTACCCGGAGCGGGTGGACTTGTAAACGTATCCATGGCTTGATCTAGTGATCATGCAACTAACCTATTTTCCCGTGCTAACCATTATGTAGCACTGCTTGCAGGAAAATAGAATTAATTAGGAAAATAGTATTCGTGCGTGGTGTTTGAGTTGAGTGAACAGTTATTGTAAAGGATGATCACAACCTATTATCTTGTAATCATTCTTTATGCCGAAGGCAGAGAATAGTACTTATAACCTATTATACCTTGGTGTTGAATCAATATATCCTGCATGTCCATATATTAATTCTACTATATATCCCATGTCATATAGTAACGTATTATAGCAAAATAAGTAGACTATATATCCTAAATGACAACCTGTTCAGCCTTATACGAGGTAGCTAATCTCGTATAGGAATCATCACTTATTCTATATTCGTTTCCTACTCTGTTTTATATTATTTCAGCAGTAATGAGGTGTGAGGATCTTGTGTAATTTGTATACGAGTTCTCCACATCTCATATGATGCTGTCAACTAAACACAACACTTAATTCACGGTACTCATATATTAGAGTTTATGTAATTTATAATTATTTCTGGTTTGCAATATTGTATAATTCATCTGTATCCTTCATAAAGTGAATTATATCTTTAATATTTGTATATCATCTATCCTCAAATACGACAAACGTGACAAAGTGCTCACAGGTCATTAAAAATTTTATATTATTTAGACGTATACATCTACCTTCAAACACAACAAGCACTATACAGAGTTACAAGTTTGATCGGGGCATACTGTATTCTGGTCGGTCTTTGAAACACAATATTGTATGTTTACCTATGCATATATTTAACCTATGCGAGTATTTGTCAAATGTCTATATATAAATAAATTGTGTGAATTAACTAAGTATGAATAAAATATTTTAATGAAAAAGACATTGTTGCTATCTTTTTAAAATTATAAAATTGGGGTAAACTTTTGGATAAACAAAAAAGATATGCACAAACATCAATACGCCAGTATTTGAACTCTTACCACCTATGCTTCAATTCATTCGAATTCTCAAGCCATGTTTCGCATGCATACACCAATCTCCATCTTACCATCAGTTTTCCAAGACGCCCGTTAGTAGCAATATCTACATTACTAGAGTGTGGCAGCTATTCCATATATTCTCTATAACATTCGACTCAATAACCTCGCTCAAGTTCTTTGCTATAGCGAGCTGAATTATGTTTTCCGTCTTTATTATGCTGTAAGTACTATACTTTAAGTGGTCAGAGAGTCGATTCCATACCATTCCATTACGTTTTTCAAAAAGCTACCAAAATATGAATATAGTATGTATATACAATATGAGGTGCCCGAAAATTTTATCCCGAAATTCTTGGTTACTTAAGTGGTATGAAAGTATGTTTTCTTACAGTATCCTAACTTTTTTTTATTTTTTTGGAAATAAAAACTGAAATCGTCGAATGAAATGCGCCCATTTCTGCCAAAAAAGTTTCAAATAGGGTAGGTGCGAGTTAATAATACTGAGAAGTGAGTTAATCAAACTGTAGAATTTGGAGGAACCTTCCAGTATTATTAACTCGATAGTTATAAATACTACCTCAAGCCAACACAGTTGCTTTACCATCAAAGTTTGTCTTTTCTGTATACTCTAAACCATTCAATATGCAACCTATGCTCAATCAAACCACGGGTAATTATGAGGATCCATTCGGAACACAAACTATTTCCTTTCTTGTAAATGATTTTATTCTAAAGAATATTTTTCTTTTTTTCTTTCCGTCTGGTGGATTCTTTGAATCCATAAAATTTTAATTTATTAAAATTTAATATTCTTTAAATTTCTTAACGGAATCTTTGATTCCTTCTGGTGGACCTTTGGTCCTATTTTTATAAAATATTAACGGTGTCTTTGACACCTTCTGTCGGGTCTGAAAGACCCTTCTGGAAAATTAACTTTGTTAATTTTAGGTACACCACTTGGTGTACTTTATTTCTTATAAATTAAAACGTATCCTTTGGATACTAAAGATTTTAATTTCATTAAAATCAGGAAAAACACAAAGTGTTTTTAAACCAGACGGAAAGAAAAAAAAAATGTTTTTTTTTTATTTTCTATGATATGAAATCGAATGGAAGAATCAGTATCTAAATTGTCGTATTTGAGGCAATTTTTTTTTTATTTTCTATGATATGAAATCGAATGGAAGAATCAGTATCTAAATTGTCGTATTTGAGGCACGATGGCAATATTATATGAGTAAATTACTCAAAACGTCTAACGAAATGTAAAATAAAACTTGATCTCAGATATGAGTACTGCTCATATCTTCGTTCCCGTTTGGTAAGCGGTGTGTTCGATTGCATACATTTGAACCTTAGATCAAATGTATAACAAATAAAGATAAGATAAGAAAAGAATATGGATTAAGGATAATTCTTATGTGAGATTAGCTACCTCACATAAGATTTGAACAGGTTATCTTTATGAAATATATTTTACTTAGGTTATCTATGG